GGAGGCTGGGAAGGGATTGAGGGGGGGGAGGGGGAGGGGAGAGATGAGGAGGGGAGGGGAAGAGGAGAGAGATGAGGAAGGGAGGGGGCCGAGAGGAGGGGGGGGGGGAGATTAGGAGAGGATGGGGCGAGTAGGGGGAGAGATGAGGAAGGGAGGGGGCCAAGGAGGGGGAGGAGGAGGGGGAGGAGGAGGAGAGTGTGGGTAAGAGTTTATACTTAGCATTATAGGGCAAAGGTCAGGAGCCAAGGATACTGGTAGTCACAGCATGTACGCATACATCCATGCACAAGCACGCTCAGATGCATGCACGTACGCCCAAGCAAGCGGGTATGTGCGTTTTTATATGAATACCTACGCAAGCACACACGGGTATGCACACGTACACACGCACACACGCACACACACATGCACACAAGCAGAAGGACACAATCACTCACAAACTCTCACCTTTCTTAAAAATAAATAAATAAATAAATAAAATAAAATTAAAGAAACAACAATTTAATTAAACATTAATTCGAAGAAAATCAATAAAAAAATAAGACAGAAATCAAATCAAATTCATTCCAAGATTTAAATACTCCAGCAAAGACAAACAATGAAGTGCATATCCAAGCAAAACAAAAACAAACCAAAAAAAAATCAAACAGAAGCATTTATGTCATGCAAAAATATTCTCCCTGCTGTTGTCATGCGCGCATTAAAGATCACTTTAATATTTCATTCTCATCGATCTATTTATAGCGATTGTTGTTGTTGTTGTTGTTGTCGTTTTAGTTTTTTTCTTCATCTTCTTCTTCTTCTCCATTTAATTACTGTTTTTATTTTTCTTTTTTTTTTTATTTCTTCTTCGTCTTCTTCTATTCTTCATCTTTTTCTTCCCTATTATAGCGACTGTTTTTTTTGTTTGATTGTTTGTTTCTTCTTCTTCTTCTTCTTCTCCTTCTTCTTAGTCTATATATTTACACACATCTGTACGTCTATATTCGTAAATATATACACACAGTTCTACTCTTTTAACACAGAGGAAATACACAGAAATAATAGACAGACCGATAGACAAAACCACAGACTAAGGGGGAGACTAAGCCATTATGAAAATTGACTTATCCTTGACCTATATGTAGTACCCACCGACCTAGGCAACTGATTGCTTTATCAGTAATTTCTGCGTTTGGCTTCACTCAAGCATTTTAAGTATAAATACATCCCGCTTTTGCAAGACAGAGAGAGAGAGAGAGAGAGAGAGAGAGAGAGAGAGAGAGAGAGAGAGAGAGAGAGAGAGAGAGAGAGAGAGAGAGAGAGAGAGAGAGAGAGGCACGAATGTGAGAGGAGGAGGGGAGGGAGGGGAGGAAAGGGAGGGGGGGAAGGCAGATGAACGATAAATAGATAAACAGAGAAACGAGAAGGTATGTGGATTGCCAAACACGCATGCCTATATATCTATCTAAATTTCTACTCCTTTTTCTCTCTGTTTGTCTGTCTAATTATTTATCTATGTCTATTTGTATCTGTCTATATTCCAATTCATCTTTACACACATCAGCATCAGTATCAACATCAGCGTCAGCATCAGTATCAACATCAGCGTCAGCATCAGTATCAACATCAGCGTCAGCGCATCAGTCAACATCAGCATCAGTATCAACATCAGCGTCAGCGTCAACCATCAGTATCAACATCAGCGTCAGTCAGTATCAACATCAGCAGCATCAGACATCAGCGCATCAGTATCAACATCACAGCATCAAGTATCAACATCAGCGTCAGCATCAGTATCAAACATCAGCGTCAGCGTCAGCATCAGTATCAACATCAGCGTCAGCATCAGTATCATCAGCAGCATCAGTATCAACATCAGCGTTAGCATCAGTATCAACATCATCAGCGTCAGCATCAGTATCAACATCAGCGTCAGCGTCAGCAATCAGTATCAACATCAGCGTCAGCATCAGTATCAACATCAGCGTCACATCAGTATCAACATCAAGCATCAGTATCAAACAATCAGCGTATCAGTATCAACATCAGCGTCAGCATCAGTATCAACATCAGCATCAGCATCAGCGTCAGCATCAGTATCAACATCAGCGTCAGCATCAGTATCAACATCAGCGTCGCATCAGCAGCATCAGTATCAACATCATAGCATCAGCATCAGCATCAGTCTCAGCATCAGCATCAGTCAGTCAGCAGCATCAGTATCAAACATCAGCGTCAGCGCATCAGTATAACATCAGCGTCAGCATCAGTATCAACATCAGCAGCATCTCAGTATCAACATCATCAGCATCAGTATCATCAGCGTCATCAATCAGTATCAACATCAGCGTCAGCATCAGTATCAACATCAGCGTCAGCGCATCAGATATCAACATCAGCGTCAGCATCAGTATCAACATCAGCAGCATCAGTATCAACATCAGCGTCAGCATCAGTATCAACATCAGCGTCAGCATCAGTATCAACATCAGCGTCAGTATCAACATCAGCGTCAATCCAGTATCATCAGCGTCAGCATCAGTATCAACATCAGCGTCAGCATAATCAGCGTCAGCATCAGTCAGCGCAGCATCAGTATCAACATCAGCGTCAGCATCAGCATCAGCGTCAGCATCAGTATCAACATCAGCGTCAGCATCAGTATCAACATCATCAGCATCAGTATACATCAAGCATCAGCATCAGCATCAGTATCAACATCAAGCGTCAGCATCAGTATCAACATCAGCGTCAGCATCAGTATCAACATCAGCGTCAGCATCAGTATCAACATCAGCGTCAGCATCAAGTATCACATCAGCATCAGCATCAGTATCAACATCATCAGCATCAGTATCAACATCAGCGTCAGCATCAGTATCAACATCAGCGTCAGCATCAGTATCAACATCAGCGTCAGCATCAGTATCAACATCAGCGTCAGCATCAGTATCAACATCAGCGTCAGCATCAGTATCAACATCAGCGTCAGCCATCAGTCATCAGCATCAGTATCAACATCAGCGTCAGCATCAGTATCAACATCAGCGTCAGCATCAGTATCAACATCAGCGTCAGCATCAGTATCAACATCAGCATCAGTATCAACAATCAGCGTCAGCATCAGTATCATCAGCGTAGCATCAGTATCAACATCAGCGTCAGCATCAGTACCACATCAGCGTCAGCATCAGTATCAACATCAGCGTCAAGCATCATCGTATCAACATCAGCGTCAGCAATCAGTATCAACACATCAGCGTCAAGTCAGCGTCAGCATCAGTATCAACATCAGCGTCAGCATCAGTATATCATCAGCATCAGCGTCAGCGTCAGCATCAGTATCACATCAGCGTCAGCAATCAAGTATCAACATCAGCGTCAGCATCAGTAGTATCACATCAGCGTCAGTCAGCACCAGTCAACATCAGCGTCAGCATCAGTATCAACATCAGCGTCAGCATCAGTATCAACATCAGCGTCAGCGTCCATCAGCATCAGTATCACATCAAGCGTCCAGCATCAGTATCAACCAACTCAGCGTCACCATCAGTATCAACACAGCGTCAATCATCAGCATCAGTATCAAACATCAAGCAGCATCAGTATCAACCATCAGCGTCAGCAAAAGTATCAACATCAGCGTCAGCATCAGTATCAACATCAGCGTCCAGCATCATCCAACATCAGCGTCAGCATCAGTATCAACATCAGCGATCGTATCCAACATCAGCGTCAGCATCACGTATCAAACATCAGCATCAGTAAGCATATCAACATCAGCGCATCAGCATCAGTATCATCAGCGTCAGCATCAGCATCAAGCGTCAGCATCAGCATCAACATCAGCGTCAGCATCAGCATTAATATCATCATCAATCACAGTATCAGCCATCAGCATCAGTATCAGCGTCACCATCAGTATCAACATCATCAGTATCAACATCAGCGTGCAGCATCAGTATCAACATCCAGCGTCAGTCATCAGCATCATCAACATCAGCGTCAGCATCAGTATCAACATCAGCGTCAGCCATCAGTATCAACATCAGCGTCAAGCATCAGTATCACAGCATCAGCGTCAGCATAAGTATCACATCAGCGTCAGCATCAGTTATCAACATCAAGCGTCAGCATCAGTAATCATCAACATCAGCGTCAGCCATCAGTATCCACATCAGCGTCAGCATAAGTATAATCAACTCAGCCGTAGCATCAGTAACATCAACATCAGATCAGTATCAACATCAGTATCAGTAAACATCAGCGTCAGCATCAGTATCAACATCAGCCAGCATCAGTATCAACATCATGCGTCAGCAATCAGTATCAACATCAGCGTCAGCATCAGTATCCACATCAGCGTCAGCATAAGTATCAACATCAGCGTCGCATCAGTATCACATCCAGCTCAGCATAAGTATAACATCAGCGTCAGCATCAAGTATCAACATCAGCGTCAGCATCAAAGCATCAACATCATCAGCATCAGTATCAACATCATCAGCATCAGTATCACATCAGCGTCAGTCAAGCAATCACATAGCTATCAGTATCAAACATCAGCGTCAGCATCAAAGTATCAACATCAGCATCAGCAACATCAGCATTCAGTCAGTATCAACATCAGCGTCAGCATCAGTATCAAACATCAGCGTCAGTTCAATCAGTATCAACCACTCAAGCCGTCAGAAATCAGTATCAACATCAGCGTAGCATCAGTATCAACATCAGCGTCAGCATCAGCATTCAGCGTATCAGACATCAACCATCAGCGTCAGCATCAGTATCAACATCAGCGTCAAGCAATCAGTATCAACAGCTCCAGCATCAATATCAAACAAATCAGCAACATCCAGCCCACATCAGTAACATCAGCGTCAGCATCAAGCGTCATCAACATCAGCGTCCAAGCATCAATAACATCAGCGTCAGCATCACATCAACAGCGTCAGCGCCCACCGAGCCCTCGCTCCTCCCCCTCCGCGCCGCACCGCACAAAGGCCGCGGGCGCCTAACGGACGGCGGGTTTCATTTCCACCCAACTTAATTATCGAAGCGATGATTCGTGCAAGAAAACCCCGGAATCAAAGCTGCCGCCGCCGCCGCGTTGGCCGTGGAACTCCAGGCATGAAATAGTTCTTTTGCCGCTTGCATGATGCATGGCGGGGCTTCCGAGTCTTCAGCGCACCGCCTGATGGATGTGAACGTGAGGCAAGAGAGAATATGATTAGGAGCCTCTGGAGGGATCTGAAGGAATCGGGTGTAAACAAACGGGCTTATATAGCAGGGATTGTAATGATAAGCTTGTGAAAATGATGAAATATATGAATAAAGGGGACATATAAGAAAGAGAATCATAATAATGTTAATAATAATAAAACAGAGAAATATATATAATAAATAAAATCAAGGAAGAAGACATGGCAAAGGAGTGGACATTTATATAAGACGCGGGTACGCATAAAGTAGAAAATGCCATAACTAGAATACTCACAGATTAGGTTTTGAAACACATCAGAGAGATTTCCAACGACGTGGAAATGCTCTTTAAAAATGAATGACAGATTCGAACGATTTGAATTTAGCGAAAGAAGAAAGTTTCCAATCCCGACAACACGAGTGCATGGGAGACGGAGGAGGAGGTGGAGAAGGAAGCGAGGAGTAGAAGGGGAAAGGAGGAGGAGGTAGGAGGAGGGGTGGGGCGATAAGGAGGAGGAGAGTGCGAAGAAGGAGGAGGGGGAGTGGGGAAGCGAGGAGGGAGTGCGAAGAAGGAGGATGAAGGAGCGTCGGCGAGAAGAAGGAGGCAGGACGGAGTGGGAGCAGGAGGAGGAGGAGTGGGAGAGAAGGAGGGAGGAGGAGGAGGGCAGGGAGATGAAAACGAAGAAGGAGCAGAGGATGGTGATTATGATGATAAGGAGGAGGCAGAGGATGAAAAAGAGAAAGGAGAAGGGAAGAAGTAGGAAGAGAAAAAAAAAAGTTGGCAGAAGAGTGAGAAGAAGAGAAGGGGAGAAAGTGAGTATGAGTCGGAAAAGGGAAGAGAGGGAAGGAGAAAGAGGAGGAAAACGAGAGTATAAAGTAACACGAGGAATACAGACAAAATATGAGAGAGACAGAGGAAACAAGAAGCGAATTGAAGAATAACGAAACACGAACGCATTTTTATTTTCTTGTGGGAAAAGGGCGCCTTCAATCTGTCTTTAAGGACGGACAGAAATTCTTTTTTTTTTCCTTTTTTTCTTTTTTTGTAGATTCCGAGAAGTTTCGAGAATTCCAGGGAGCAAAGAGAAGGAGGAACGAGAGAGGAAAGGAGAGAGAGAGAAGGGGAAAGGAGGAAAGAGGCCAGGTTAAATAAGACAAGATTTTCGAGGCACAGGCATCAACAGAATTTTTTTTTTTTTTTTTTTTTTTTTTTTTTTTTTTTTTTTTTTTTTTTTTTTTTTTTTTTTTTTACAGATGACTTTTTTTTTTCTTTATATATGACATTATACGACGTTTAAGGTCACGCCGAAAACAAGCCCGTGAGATATGGCGATGTCCACACCTGTCTTCCATCCATTAAGACGGGCATTTTCTTGTACGATAATCAGCGGTGCTTTTACTCACGTGTTTCCCAAGAACTGTCAAAGCTCCTTCAACTTGGCACGTTTATGACTCACCTCCCCCCCACCACCTCCCTCTTCTCCCCTGCCCGATCTCATACCCTCTCATACCCACTCGACGCCCACTCACGTCTGCCCACCCACGTACCGCATAGGGAAGGGCGTTTGTCAAGGGGTAGGTATAAATTCTATTTATGTTGTCTGTCAGATGAGTAAGAATAAGCGAATAGATACAAAAACAAATAAAACCTAAAAAGATAATCATGATAATGACAATAAGGGATCTTAAGATTCAGAGTCTGATCTCCAGAATGTCATAAATGATTAATGTCATATATTGTCATCCAGATAAAGACATCGAGTGGGTTTGTCATGCCAACTAAAAATAAAAAAAAGAATTAGACGACAAAAAATATAAAGTAAGAAATCAAAGACAGTGTAACGAGACTGGCACATGTCAAAGCTTTCTCGAAAGTACCATTGAGAAGATTGAAGTGTGGTGTCAGGGCTTGGAAGATGTCATCAGCGAATGATGTTGAAGCTGATATGAAACTACGAGAGGCACCATCAGCCTCCAAGTATCATTGAAACTCTCTCTCCCTTTCTCTCTCTCTCTCTCTCTCTCTCTCTCTCTCTCTCTCTCTCTCTCTCTCTCTCTCTCTCTCCTCTCTCTCTCTCTCCTCTCTCTCTCTCCTCTCTGCTCTGTCTGTCTGCCTGTCTCCTCTCTGTCTCTGTCTTGTCTGTCTTCTCTTTCTCTGTCTGTATCTGTATCTCTCTCTCTCTCTCTCTGGTCTGTCTCTCTCTGTCTGTCTGTCTTCTCTGTCTGTCTCTCTCTGTCTGTCTGTCTGATATCTGTCTTCTGTCTGTCTCTCTCTCTCTCTCTCTTCTCTCTCTCTCTCTCTCTCTCTCTCTCTCTCTCTCTGTTTGTCTGTCTGTATCCATTTTTCTCTCTCTGTCTGTATCTCTGTCTCTCTCTCTCTCTCTCTCTCTCTCTCTCTTCTCTCTCTCCTCTCTCTCTCTCTCTCTCTCTCTCTCTCTCTCTCTCTCTCTCTCTCTCTCATCTGTCTATCTGTCTCACACTCTCTATATAGTCTATCAACTCTATGCCTCTCTCTGTTTTTTATATTATTTTCCTCACAATTATTATTACTATTATAATTCCTCTTCTTTCTTCTTCTTCTTCTATTTCTTCTTCTTCCTCTTTCTTCCTTTCATCTTAGCGATTCCCTTTTCTTAATATATTCCTCCCTTCTTCTCTTATCCGTCAACACTCACGATGCCATGAAGTGCCAGAGTTTCAACACGATTTTGACAGTTGTTCTTTCATAACTTATGGTTACGGCAACATTACTATTGGTTGCAGTTGTTGCGCAATGGCTACAATATCTTTACTCATCGTTGACGCTCCATACTAACTGCAACTGCATTTGTTAATGGTTGTAGTAGTATTAATAACCTGTTGTATTATCCATTGTCAATGGTTGTAGTAGTATTGATAACCTGTTGTATTATCATTGTCAATGGTTGTAGTAGTATTGATAAACTGTTGTATTATCATGGTCAATGGTTGTAGTAGTATTGATAACCTGTTGTATTATCAACCTGTTGTATTATTGTCATGGTTGTAGTAGTATTGATAACCTGTTGTATTATCATTGTCAATGTTGTAGTAGTATTGATAACCTGTTGTATTATCACTGTCAATGGTTGTAGTAGTATTGATAACCTGTTTGTATTATCATTGTCAATGGTTGTAGTAGTATTGATAACCTGTTGTATTATCATTGTCAATGGTTGTAGTAGTAGATAACCTGTTGTAATAACATTGTATGGTTGTAGTAGTATTGATTGTTTGTATTATCATTGTCAATGGTTGTAGTAGTATTGATAACCTGTTGTATTATCATTGTCAATGGTTGTAGTAGTACTGATAACCTGTTGTATTATCATTGTCAATGGTTGTAGTAGTATTGATAAATGTATATCACTGTCAATGGTTTTAGTAGCATTGATAACCTGTTTGTATTATCATTGTCAATAGTAGTATTGATAACCTGTTGTATTATCACTGTCAGTGGTTGTAGTAGTATTGATAACCTGTTGTATTATCATTGTCAATGGTTGTAGTAGTATTGATAAATGTATATCACTGTCAATGGTTGTAGTAGTATTGATAACCTGTTGTATTATCATTGTCAATGGTTGTAGTAGTATTGATAACCTGTTGTATTATCATTGTCAATGGTTGTAGTAGTATTGATAACCTGTTGTATTATCATGGTTAATGAATTAAACAAGAGGTAAATTTCCATCTGAAGGATTGAGGACTTTTGCAAATGAATTCAAGTTGAGATGAGTTTATAAAGATCTATTGAGACTACACATGGTTGCTAAACTGTTGTATTATCACTGTCAATGGTTGTAGTAGTATTGATAAACTGTTGTATTATCACTGTCAACGGTTGTAGTAGTATTGATAAACTGTTGTATTATCACTGTCAGTGGTTGCAGCCGTATTAATAAACTGTTGTATTATCATCGTTAATGGTTGTAGTAAATGAAGTGACTGTAATGATTTACACACAGTAGTTGCATGATGGTTGCAATAGCATTGACAATGACTGCAGATGTTTAATGGTCGTAATAAGACTGCTAATAGTTGCATTTATTTAATGGCTGCAATAAGCCTAACGGTTGCAATAGCATCGTAGTACCTCCAGAAATAGTACAGCTTAGCAAAAAAAAAAAAAAAATCATCTCAAGTGTCACAAGTTCCAGGAAGATGCTGCGTCGCCTCATCTCCGGAGACCTGGAAGATGCTGACGTCTGCGAAGCGACAGAAGCACCGCGGAAGAGCTAGAAAGTGTTAAGTGAATGTCAACAAAGGTGTAATTAGAATAGATCTCTCTCGGTCTCCTTCTCTTGCGCCCTTCATCTCTCCTTTTCTCTCTCCTTCGCTTCTTCTTCCTTCTCTCCCAACTCATTTCTTTCTTTCTTCGCAACGATCTCTTCCTTCTCTCCTTTGCAACAATTTCTTCCTTCTTCCTTCTTCCTTCTCTCCTTCGCCACGATCTCTTCCTTCTTCCTTCTCTCCTTCGCAATAATCTCTTCCTCCTTCCTTCTCTCCTTCGCAATAATCTCTTCCTTCTTCCTCTCCTTCCTTTGCAATAATCTCTTCCTTCTTCCTTCTCTCCTTCGCAACAATCTCTTCCTTCTTTCTTCTTCGCCGATGTATCTACGTTCTCCGTTTCCTTCTTACTCCTTTTCTTTCCTCTCTTCCTCTCTCGTTTCCTTCATTCCCTTACTTCTCTGCTCATTTCCTTTCTTTATTCCCTCCTTCCACTTTCTCTCCCCTCTTCTTACTGTTTCTCTCTTCCTCCATCGCTTCCCTTCCCTTACTACCCTACCTCTCCCTT